AGGGGAGGAGATCTGCCACTACATCGACCGCAGCTTCACTTTCTGGAAGGAGAAAGAAGCCGAGATCTTCAGTTTGGAGGAGTGATGTCCTCTGGCAGGGAGGTCAGAGGGCTGCATGAAGCTGTGGGCTCTAATAAACGCCTTTTTGGTTCTGTCCAATCTGAGCAAGGCTTCCAGGGGTGAAGGAGGAAACTCTGGAGCACAGGGCGACCCCCTCGGCACCCCAATCCCCCACCCCCTGGGACCCGCGTCTTGGCCCCTGCCTCTTCACAGTGAGGCAGCTGCTGCCATTTATTTGTGGTCTCTGAGGAGTGAGATAATATCCTATGTATAATACTCGGAATCTGCAGCCACGGCTGGGGGAGGAGGGACATTGTGGAGATACCCGTTGACTGACGGGTTAGAGAGGGGCGAGGGTGCTGGGGGCAGCTTTATTCCCAGACTAGTGGCTCCTGGCTGGCTGCAGAGGCGTGCTTTCCAAAAAGCAGCAAAGCCACTAGGCGACGGGGATGAGCAGCAGCAGGCAGCTCTGCCTGTACGGTGCCTTTAAGAGCAGGGAACAATATCCCAGTGCTGCCTAAAAATAGTGTGTGACCCCCTCTCCCGGCTGGATCCTGTGTCATCTCTCTCCCCAGTGCCGAGTCAGCAGCCATTTTTCTCCCGGCAGGCCAGCCAGAGGGCTACAGCGTCCAGGTGAGAGCGCAAGGGAACTAGATAGATAGCTGAACACAGCCCCAAAACCATCCCCAATCCCCGAAAAATCGGCAGCAGCTCTGGTAGGGCAGCTGGACCATGGGGAGGAGAAATCACAGCCACCCCATGAACGTGGGAGTGGGAGAGCTTCAGGGAGCACTTCTGCCCCTGCTGGTCCTTGTAAATCAGGTTCTGGGAAGACGTGATTGTAACAGGGAGGGGAAAAATGGAGATGTCATCACCTTTTCCTGACAGGGACTTCCTCTACACTCAGCTTGGGCTCTGTCCCTCGGCAAGACCCCATGGCCATCCCCAGCACAATGGTGAGGAATGTGGACGACTTTGACTTCTGCTTGCCTTCACATGCCCAGGGCGTGCTGGAGGGGCTGCAGCAGCTCCGCACCAACCCCAAACTGGCAGATGTGACTCTGGTGGCGGGTGGGCAGGAGTTTCCCTGCCACCGGGGCATCCCGGCCCTCTGCAGCAACCACTTCCATGCCATGTTCTCTGGTGACTTTGCTGAGAGCATTGCAGCACGGGTGGAGCTGAAGGAGGTGGACCCTGGTGTGCTGGAGATACTGCTCAATTTTGCTTATACAGGGAAGGTCACCATCAACCAGGGCAATGTAGAGGGGCTGATGCAGACCTCCAGCCAGCTCCACTTCCCCACTATCCAGAAAGTCTGCAGTCGCTACCTCCAGCAGCAGATGGACGCCACCAATTGCCTAGGTATCTGCGAGTTTGGCGAGAGCCACGGCTGCCCCGAGGTCTCCTCCAAGGCTTGGTCTTTCTTGCAGGAAAATTTTGAAGCTGTCTCTCTGCAGGAGGAGTTCCTCCAGCTCTCCAAGGAGAGGTTGGCTGTCTACCTCTCCAACGACCAGTTGCAGGTGCAGAAGGAGCAGAGCCTGGCTGAGGCTGTGCTGCGCTGGGTACGCCATGACCCGGGGCCCCGAGCCCAGTTCCTGCCTGAGCTGTTGGAGTTGACCCACCTCATCTCGCTGCCTGATCAGTACCTGCAGAACCTGCTTGCCACTGAGCCCCTCATCCGAGACTCAGATGCTAGCAAGGCTGTCGTTGCCCGATCCTGCACTATGGTGGGGACCTCCTGCCCCAAATCCCACCCGCAAACTGACAGGGAGTCTCAGCTCAGAACCTGATGATCCTGTCCTGACATCTTTGTCAGGGGCAGAGAGACGCTGGTGCCCAGAAGAACCCCTCAACCCCACTTCAGAAGCTGGAAGAGGTGCTGGTAGTGGTTGGCGGCCGTGTGCTGGAGGAGGGGGAGGATGAGGACAGGGGGCTGGAGACGCCAGCTGCACCCAGGAACTTTGCCTTCTACAACCCCAAAAGCAGTAAGTGCCCACATCCAGCATGAGGCAAGTGCACACATCCCCCTGCATGTTAATTGACCCTCTGTCTATCCCAAAGCCACCTCTTGCCGAATGAATCATCTTGTGTCAGGAAGGCACTGGGAGGAGGGGGGAAGAGTGAAACAAGACTGGCTTAAAAACATAATTGCTAGCTGGAGGTGGTCATTGCTTGACTCCGCTGGTTTTCAGGGCGATGGATGGCTCTGCCCGATTTCCCTGATTACAACAAATGGGGCTTCTCCCTAGTGACTCTGAACAATGATGTGTATGTCACAGGTATGTGCTGGGGCTGCTGATGCTGGGTGGTGGTCCCTAAGGAGCAGGGACAGAGGATGGGAGACAAAGATGTGGGCATGTGGCACTGGCATGCAGCCAGGGGTTACTCTTCTCCCTGAGAAAAGCCCTCTCCATGCTTTCTTCTTGTGTGGATCCAGCCACTGTTGAGGGATGACCAGGGACAGCTGCACTCAGAGGGGTTGACCCACCTAATCTGTCCCTCCCTAGGTGGCTCACGGGGGTCCCACAACGACACATGGTCAACAACCCAGGCCTGGTGTTTCTGTCCCAGGGATGGTGCCTGGAAGCTTATTGCTTCCATGCTGAGAGCCCGAACAAACCACACGAGTGCTGTCCTCAATGGCGAGATCTACGTCATTGGGGGTAAGGCTGTGAAGACCCCACAGGTGCTCCTGGGGTGGGGTTCCATGGGTGCCCAGGAGAAGCAGGAGTGGCTGCAGCATCCTGCTTGTCTGCAGGGACGACAGTGGATGTGGTGGAGGTGGAGCGCTATGACCCCTACAGCAACAGCTGGTGCGCCATCAGCCCAGCCCTCAAGTATGTGAGCAATTTCGCAACTGCCAGCTGCTTGGGCAAGCTCTACCTGGTTGGCTCCTGCGCCATCAAGTACAATGCGCTCACCTTGCAATGCTACAACCCTGTCCAAGGTGAGAGCTGGCCCTGCTGCCGTGCCCCACAAATGCCTTCCTGGGGAGCAGGACTGAGGGGGACCTTGAAGAAGGTGACATCCTCTGCCACCAGGCATGGTCTTACAGAATGCAATCAGGTGCTAACAGTGTCCAGCAATGGCTACACCATGGGTCCAGAAGCCTGCCAGGAGCATGGCTGCTGGCAGCATGGATACGAGTCATAGACCTCCAGCACAGCCTGGATCCCCAGTGCAGAGGGGTGGGCGAGGCTGACTGCCTTAGGGAGAAACTAAACTTCTCTGACAACACCATCTCCTTGGGTAGCCTCTGTGCAGCCCACGATGGTCTCCCCTATCCCACACCACTACTACAAACAATATTCCCGCTACTGTTTTTTTTACACAAGACTCTTGTCTGGAATGGGGACCATGGGTGCCACCCTGCCTGGCCGCTCTGTCTCCTCTCTTTCAAACATCCCCTTAAATAGCCACAGAGTCAGCAATGCTTCTTTCAGTCACTGGCAGCTGCCTCAAGAGCCAAGTGCGGAATGCACCGCTGATGGCTGCTCCTTGCAGATTTGTGGAGTGTGATCACATCCCCTTTCATCCCCAAGTACCTCTCGGCCCCACGCTGTGCCACCCTGCATGGGCTTATCTACCTTATTGGGGACAACACCAAGAAGGTCTACGTGTACAATCCGGAGGTCAACATCTGGCAGAAGGTAGCAAGATGTGGGGCTGAGTGCAATCACCTTCCCAGGGAGGTGGGGCAGCTGTTCCCTTCCTGCCAGCATTCCAGAACCATACGCCCACACCCGCTCCCCTGGTGCCAACACTCCCTCTCCCTCCTGCCTGCTTATCTCTTGGCTCTATTAACCTATGCAGAGGTGAACATGCCCCAGTCCTTCCCTCCTTGCTCCGCCATCATATCCACACTAGGAACATTGCTTTCTTACTAAGTTAGTGATTTTAAGCACCATTCATACTGCAGTAGCCCACAGGACTCCTTTTTCCAGCACCACCCTCCTGCAGGGTTTGTGGGGCTCCTGCCACCACAATCTAGCAAAATTCTACTTGTCCCTTCCACCCTCCACTCCCAGCAGTGCTCCCACCCTAGCCACTGTAGAAGCAAAACACAGGGATGCTGCTACAAGCAAGAATGGCCCCAGAGGCCTCCACACCTTGCAGAAAGTATGGTGTGGGGGAATACACCTTGTAGGTCCATGTCCTCTGTAGTGGGAGCAGGAGGGCCTCAGAGGGGTCTCAGCACATCTTGCCCTGTCCCTGATGCAGGTGCAGCTCCTGCACACTCTTCATGAGAATGGTGGGATGGTGCCATTGGGCGACCGGCTTTTTGTCACTGGTGGCCACTGGAAGGGCATGGATGGGGAATACCAGGTGGAGATGGAGGTGTATGACTGCACCAAGGACCTCTGGACATGGGAGGGCTCCCTGCCCTGCCTCTGGCTCTTCCACAGCTCCTCCTCCATCTTCGTGGACACCTCCAAGTGGACAGAGGCTTTCCAGGGTGACCATGGGTGGTAAGAGAGCACATAGTGTTGCCTGTTACCCTGCACAGATGCTCTCTTCCTCGTGTCTCTCTCCCCACTGCTGGTTCAGCTTTGCAGGTGAAGAGATTGGAATCCCCCTGCTGGGCTGCCTGGGGTGTTGGGAGCATGTTCCCCTCCTGCCACCACAGAGCAAAGGCTTTTCCATATAAAGATGCTTTGGCTAATGCTCTCTTTAAGTTTGTTGAGTTTTGTTTGGTTTGGTTTTTGCTTTTTTGTTTCTTTTTTTTGTTTATTTTGTTTGTTTAGTTTTAAGAATTGTCTTCTCCCTCCAAAACCTGAGAGCTTTTAGGGTATTTTGAGGCCTCCCAAAGTGTGGCCCATCCCGTCAGACACTGGCATTGCTGCCTGGTGGCCATGGCCCTTGCCCCATCAGCGGACATCCAGCATGGGGAAGCATGAGAGGGGTGCTTTACCAGCACCCAAAACTGTTTAACACATCACTGGCCAATACTGAAGTGTCAGACCTGCTCCAGTGCCATGTGGAGCGGAATGACAGGAGATAAGCAGATGCGTTATGTCCTTGAGTGGCAGAGAAGCCTGTGGCAGGGTGTTTCATCCTGATTTCTCTCCTGGGATGTGCAGCAAGTGCCCCTGGGAACCAACCTGAGGATTGTGGTGAACCAGCGACCACTTTGGTGACATCTGGTTCCTGGTGCAGGGACAGAACAGGGCAGTGGCTCCTGGCATGTTGCTGTCTCTGCTGGTACCTCATTGCAGAGAACACCCTGGGGTGGGGCAAGCACCAAGTGATGCTTCAACAGAATCACAGAATTGTTGAAGTTGAAAGTGACCTCTAGAGACCATCTAGTCCAATTTCTCTGCTAAAGCAGGATTGCCTAGAGCACATCACACAGGATTGCATCCAGGCAGATTTTGAGTCTCCAAAGACAGAGATTCCATGACCTCCCTGGGCAGCCTGTTCCAGTGTTCTGTCACCCGCACAATAAAGAAATTGTTCCTGATATTTAAATGAAACTTCCTGTGTTCCAACATGCGCCCCTTGCCTCTTGTCGTGTCATAGGGGGCTAGTGAAGAGTCTGGCTCCATCCTGCCTGCACCTGTTAGATGTTTATAGACACTGATAATTCCTAGTCCCACCATCAGCACTGGGACACCATAGCTCTGACAGCATTGTTTGATGGTTAGTCTAAATTTTTAATTATTTTTTAAGCATTAAACATGCATGCCAAGGAGTTCTGGGGGTTGTGAGGAGAGCCCGCCGGGTTGGGGCAGAGTGTCCACCCATTCCTGGAGCTGCGTGCTGCTCCCTGTGACCACGTGGGATTTTACACAGGACGGGTCTTCGTGTCCCACAGAGGAGAGTGGGAGCTCTCCTGCAGCAGCAGCGCTGTTAAAAAAAACGGTGGGCCCCCACCGCGGCCAGGTGGTGGGGCGGGCCACTGACCGCTCTTGCAAGCCCTGAGGTGGGGCTCAGGCCACCCTCCAGGTAGAGGTGAGATGCGACTGCAAGAGTTGTACCTGGCACTCCTCTGAGCTGCTGCTAGGATCGGCTCCCCAGCAGCAGCCCGGGAGAGGTCCCTGGGCCCGAGAGCAGCAGCAGGGAGGGTGGCGGATGGACCTCCACCAGGCGCAGCTGCTGGTGGCCAAGAGCCCTGGGCAGGTGAGCAGCCGGGCCCGGGCAGGACAGGCACAGTACAGGTACTGGCCAGTGGCCAATCTCCAGGAAAGTCATCCCAGGCTGCCTTGCAAGACATTGTGCCAGGCTCTGTCTCTGCCACCCTGCCGTGGTCCTCACTGTGCTGAAAGAGCTGCTAAGGGAGTTGCAGTCACTGGTGACAGGAACCCGCCCCAGGGAGCGCTGCAGGAAGGATGGGTGAGGGTGACCCCAGGGAAGGAGTAGAGAACAGCAGCAATGAGGCACCACAGGGCTGGGTGACAGACACAGGCACTGCCTCATCTTCGGGCCAGGAAAAGCTGAGGTTGCATTTTGAAGTCAGGTGTGGCAAAAGGAGCAGGTGAAAACATGCAGAAAGGCCTGTGAAAGGCATGAGGAAGAGAAGGCAGGAAGGATGGGTGAGGGTGACCCCAGGGAAGGAGTAGAGAACAGCAGCAATGAGGCACCACAGGGCTGGGTGACAGACACAGGCACTGCCTCATCTTCGGGCCAGGAAAAGCTGAGGTTGCATTTTGAAGTCAGGTGTGGCAAAAGGAGCAGGTGAAAACATGCAGAAAGGCCTGTGAAAGGCATGAGGAAGAGAAGGAAACTAGTGAAGGCAACCCACAGGCTGGGTCCCATTGTCACATGGAAGCAGTCATCCACTGCTGGACATGTGAAAACATCTCCACCAAGAAGAGAGCATCAGGAGCTGCAGCTTTACTACATTGAGAGTGCCCAGCCTACTGCCCCTTCCTGCCTGTATCATCCTCCTGCCCACAGGGGCATGTGCCCTGGCACACAGGCTCATGTTCTAACCCAAGCCTTTCCCCATCCCCAACCAGAGAGGGAGACGTTGCATGCCAACTGCATGCAATTCAATTCAATGGAGCCAAGTGTAGGGTCCTGC